AACTTTGCTCACGCAAAGAGCTTGGAAGACTAGCTGTCACATACAAATCTTGCAAAAATATAGGTGGAATTTGATGCTATTCTAATATCTTAGAGGGTAAATTATTAATGTTCAGTGTTAAAGAAAAAAATGTGTCTTCTAGGTTAAATACACAGCCTAGCTCAAATGACATTCATATGCCCTCATTCTGAAAGTATGAGGAGAAAAAGTCAATATCTTTAGAATGTGAAATGTGGAATGCTAACAGCAATATAGTATCAAGATATGGGCTTTAAGTTCTTAAATACCATCTATTCTCAGGCAATAATATTTCCGCATTGCTGTAAGGCAAGTTAACAAATATCAAAATGTCAGTTCGGGAGATTATTTGAAAACATGCACTCATATGTTATATACATGCACATACATGCATAAACACACACATATGTGAGATACTTGTATACAAATTAAATACATATGTGTGCACACACACATGTATGTATATGCGTACATATATATATACTCATCCCCAGTTTTCCCGAATGGAATTATGCATACCTGTATTTACACACAAACAAATGAAAAGGATGTATTATATAGAAGGGTTTTCTTCTTAAGAGAGATTTTTGATTTCCAGGTATTTTACCACCTGAAGTGACTGCTGTTGTTGTTCTTAGCTCTGTCCTGAGCATGTTTGCTCTGGGAATCATTGCATCTTTGCAGAAAATCACTTTCTATGACTTAGGGAAGGTGTCAGGACCCCTTCACACATTATATATTCAACAAATACTGAAAATATTGTTTTTATAGACATGTGTTGGTTTGGTCTTGAAAGAGGAAATATTCCTAGCTGGGAGGCTTTAATGTTTTTTTAATTGAACATGTGCAAGGTCACCTCTAAATATTATACCTGAGATTTTCATGGGAGCTGAGAGGATGGAAGGGTCTAGTTTGAACAGAAGGAAGAGCGAGCTACACTACAGACAAAAAAAGACTGGATACTATGGAATGACAAAAATAAAGGCCCTTCAAAAAAATAAACATTTGAAACTGCAGATAACCTACTTGCCACATTGTTTTAAAAACATTAGTCTTTTTGGTTTATATTAAGAGGGTATTAGAACAGCCATGGAATACTCAATTAGGAAATATCCAAAAATCATAGACTCTGGATTTGATGAGTCTTATATAAATTCTATATGACCTCTACTTCCAGTTACTTACAGCTTCAAGGGTTTGTTTTATTCCTTCTTCAGTTTTCAAAAAATGGTTTGCTGCTATACAATCTTCCAAATCTCCTTTAGCCTTGAATCTTCCAACAAAACAAAATTAGCTATAAAAGGCTGTTATTCAACTAGTTTTTACCTTTTCTTGGTCTCCCACTGTAGACTAACTTATATGCTCCACCCCTGGCAGTGTTCAAGGCCAGGTTGGATGGACTCTTGGGTGACATGGTCTAGTGTGTGGTGTCCCTGCCCGTGGCAGGGGCATTGGAACTGGATGATCTTAAGGTCCTTTCCAGCCCAACCCATTTTATGATTCTATATAGGTTGTTATTAAACATCACTAGTGACCTTTAATCCACCCTTTTTCTTATTATTAATTTATTTTAGCCCCAAGTACATTTCCTAACATACTCATTTGAGATTGGTTTAGCCTAATGTTAATGAAGAATCAGGAGTGGGGATACCTTGTTCTTTTGTTTCCTATGTAAATTCCAGATCTTACTTATTAAGGAGATTTGAGAAAAGACACCTTATTTGGGATATAATTGTGTTTATATATATATATATATATATATATATTTGAAGCCGTCCAACATAACAAGTTTAAAAGTCAACATTTTTAACACCAGTGCTGTCTTGGGTGCCTTATTTGCACTGTTTTGGAAGATTTTGATTTCCAGGCAGGTGTTTCTGTAAAATCATGGTTCAAAAAAACTGTCTGAAATTAAGCATCCAAAACAAGTAAGTTAAGTTTTTAAAAGAAAACCTTGATGAAATGATTTGCCTTTTTGATGCATTGCTTATTTGTTTAAAAACAATGAGAACACACATTTTTTTTTCTTTTACTCATCTCAGATATAACATATTTGCAGGGAAAATGCTATGTGCTTTGAAGGAAGATTGTAGGGAGCTGCTGTTGTCACTGGTTTGCTAAATATTCTATGGAGCAATGATAGGGATCTTTCCATATCACGGCACAATATACATTTGTGCACCAGCACGATACGGTTTTGCTCTAGAGTGGGATATTTGCTCCTTTTCATGAAAAATGCCTACCTTGAAGGGAAAGAAAAGGAAAGAAAAGAATTTTTAGAGTGTTTGCTTATTCTGTAAAGAAATATTGATTCAATGAGTGTTTAGAGTTGTTTGGTGGTGTTTTTTTTTTCCTAAAATCACTAGTAGTTTATTTACTGTTTAGTATGACTTGTAAGTATTGTCAGATTCTTGTAGATTTGGCAAAAATCCCAGAACTCCTAGAATCCTTTGTGAACCCAAGTTAACATGCCATGATACCCAATTCTCAGATTTTTCTTTCTCTTTTATTCCCTTTTTTTTAACTGTTTTTGTTTGCTTGATTATTTCAAGCTGTAACGATAAGCAGAACAACATTGATCCATGACGTGATTAGCCTGGCACTGAGCCTGGGTGAGTCTACATTACTGAGAGGCAACATTAACTGCCCTGAGCATGGTGCCATGCTGACAATATCCACATAAATTTACATCAACTCTTGAGTTCAGGCAGGATGAGCAGCACTAATTGGGAATGGATTTTCCTGGAGAGGACAATCAGCTCAGAGGGAGGATAGAACTTCCACCCTTCATATGACTTCTGGGGACAGTGGAGGACAGAAAGATTCACGTTTCACCACTATGCTATGTGTAGATGTACTCCTGTCCACACGGCACATATACCCATTGTAAGCATCTCTTATCCCACCCACAATATTCTCATTCTTCATGATCCTAGTTCCTTGCAGCATTCCCAGGTGTCCAAAATGCTTCTGTGCAGATCTTTCCTCACCTATAAAGTTATCCATTTCACTCTATCCAACACTTATTTGCATCTCTAGATGCCAGTCTTTAGATAAGCTCAGCCTTACGTAATGTGAACATTTCAGATATCCATAAAAACTCAAACTTCATAAGTGGTGATTTTGCTTCCAGGCCTAGTCCTGGTCTTGTGTATTGCCTGTTTGATTAAATGTTTATGAGTTTGGAGCTTTCTCGAGTGCTTCATTTTCTGGAGTTAAAAAAAAGTAAAACATAAAAACACAACTGTCCAGAATGCAAGGGTAAGAGCTGAAGTGTTTGCTTTCAGCTAAGTCTGATAGAGAATCAAATTAAATTAGGCATTTTTAGCATCTCTGGAAACAGTTGATGGAACTATTCCTGCTGGATTTCCAAAACTGGTTTTCAGGGACCTAATTCTTCTCCCTGAATTTGGAAAAGGGAGAATCTGAATTTGGAGAATGAAAATTCTCAGTAACATCAATGTAGACCTGAACACTGAGTGATTTTACTGGGATGCTGCAATTGTATTTAAGAATAATATATTTATAATAAAGATGTGTAGGGGTTTTTAAAGTATTTTTAGTGTATTTTTTTAATGTTACTGCATTTTGCAAGCTCTGCTACAGTGTGTCCGTCTTGTACTGCTTGTTCATTAAGGCTGCAAACACTATGGACTCAGGGCTGTTTGTTCTGTCCAGTAGTCTGCAAATAGTAATAGCCAAAAAGAAACCCTTCCCTTAACCCAGAAAATACTCCCTGCAGACATGTTGCTACTCTGGAGGAGTCTAGGAAGATTTTTCACATCCTATTGTTTATCTTTATGGCCTGCAGCCACACCACCTTGAGCTGTGATCTGATCACAACTCACAGATAAAGCAGGATACAGCCAGTCCTGGGAAGGATGATCTCCAGAACCGTTCCAGTGCTGTTAGACCCTGGTGCTGATTACTCATTTTATGTTATTTCCCCCCATCATGTCAATTCCCCACTGTGGAATCTAGAAGAACATCTTTCAATAGAGATAAGGTAGAGCTTGACTACCCAAAGCAATTTTAATCCTACAGTTTTGCTTAAGAAGGTGTGCAAGCTAATGTGACAGCTCACTTTTCCAGGAGGAGGCTGGAGCACAATCCAACAGAATTACCTGTCAAGTTTCCATGGTCAAATTCATGTGAAAATGTTGCATTTAAAAAGAAGATATGAAGACAGAAAGTGAACAGTTGCCACTTTGGTTCATGCCAAAGATTGCTGTTGGCAGCAGCCTGGGCTGCTTCAAGTTATGGTCATTTGTGTCTACAGAAGCAGTCTGGGTTTATTGCAAGAAACTGGGGCACAGTGTAGGAGATCTCTTTTTAAATTCCATGTGTGACCTTGGGCATAGCTCTTCCCTCTCTGAACCTCATTTTATCCCATGAAAAGTAAAGATACTGGTATTTCTTGCATTTGTCATCACGAATCTGACTGTAAGTTCTATTTTTTAGGGTGAGTCAGTACACCACCTTGCTCTATGGGGCCACCTTCACAGCTGGGATCTGTTGGTACTTCTATAGCCCCTAGAATAATAATAGTTCTCATTAAGGACTCCTGTTAAAAATGTGTTTTATCATGGCTAAAGAAATCCTCTTTCAGATTATTAATTAAAAATAAATCCAATTGCCTTCACCTGTGGACCATGACATTTGCAGGGGGAACATTAAGGGCAGAGAAATGTAAACCAGCTATCTTGAAAGTTTGCTGTTTGAAAGCTTAAAGCTGCATTTGTCCCCTCCTCTCCCCTCCCCTTATGCACAATTTCAGATCCATTGCTTATTGAATGATAGACTTATTGATGAATTATACTGCAGTGATCCAGCTCAGGGAGGTCAGTAGGGTGCAATTACTAGCAGAACGGGCTTGGGTGTGCTTCGGAACTACTCCTCCCTGCACAGCTCTTTCAGTATGCATATCACATCTCCGTGCTTGTAGCAGGCTGGTGAGTGTGTGCAGTTAGTGCAGGCACACACATACTTCTGCGCTTTCCCTGAAAGTGGAGCATTAGCAACTGCAGTCAAAAAGCACCCTTGCTTCTTCAGCTCTGATCCTGGCAGCAACTGTCTAATTCTGTCTGGAGGAACTGGAAGACAGCACTGGAGGCAAGTTTAAAAAGGACCTAGTGACACCCTGCTGTCACATCGGGTTTCGTGAATCCACTTATCAGTAGTCCATTTACAATTACTTTCCTCGTCCCATCAGTATTGTACATTCGTGAGAGCTGGCTGGCTGGGAAGGAAGGAGAGCCCTGCTGAAGGTAGGTTGCAATCTTCTTTACCTTGCATCTTGTGCTGAATGTTTCTGTCTGTGCATCTCACTTGCAGACGTTCCTGGTCTCTGCAGTTTTCCACTGAAAGCTGCTGGAGCAGGGCTTTAACAAATCAAAGCAATAGAAATAAATGGACAGGTAACTTTTTTTACCCCACTGCCCTTATTTAACCATGCAGACTGTTTGTTAAAGGGTAAAATTATATGACCGGATTAAACTTTCAGGGAAGAGGACAGCTCTGACTGCATTCTGTATCACAAGCAAATAGACTGCTGTTATTTCTAACAGGGCAAAAATTCCATTCACCAGCTGTTTAACTGTGGACATGGAACATTGCTTCCAAATTGATGTGTTTATTAAATACGGTCTGTGGATGCCCTGCCAGCTGAAATCTGCATGCATGTTTTGAAACCTGAAAAAAAGGAGACTCTTTCATTAACTTTCAAAATGCTCTGGACTGCAGCACACTTCTTTAGAGAAGAGGAGTGAGCCAGGCTTTTCATTTCACTTAAGTTCTTTTACTGGCATGTATTCATCTGGTAGAAAGTCTTTGCCAAATCCAAGAAGTTTGCTGTTATTGCATTTCCATAAATGTAACAGCTGTGAAGAGAATGAATATTCATAGTGTTTGGTTTTTTGCTCCAAAGGTTTTTTATGATAATTCTGACTTTTCAAGGGGATGGGATCTTAGATCAAAGAATTCTGCAGGTTCAGGTACTGTGATAAGCAACTTATGTTTCCTCAAATAAACATAATACAGACAAGCATGTACTGCAGTAAAGAGCTGACCCTACCTCTTATTTACTCGCAGCCAACTTGGTCTGTTGCTTATACTTGTGGATTCTTTTGCTAACAGGTCATCAGCAATGAAAATGAAGTACAGCTCATACTGCTCTCTCATGGGACGTTATTTCCCTAATGCTATCCAGTTTCCTTTGAGCATATCCGAGAAACTGCTAATGTTATGATGATTAAATTTTAACTCGGTACATCCTGTATTTGCACTGACTAAAAACTTATTTCGGGATGTTGCTAGGGACAGAGAAGCCCACCACAAGCCTCGTGTACTTTAAGGATGGAAAGTGATTTGACTGATCTCCCCCTAGGAAAATTCCCCTGATTGATAGTCATTTATCAAAACTGTACAAGCAGCAGAGATGGTCCTCCCCTGCAGGTAGAAATAGAATGGTCTTGAAAATACAGAGGCAGTGTGTGTGCATGTGCGTGTGTTTCTAGAGATAATTCGTCTAAAAAAACTTAACTAATCCTGGCTGCCTGTAGATCTCAATGACTTCTGCATTACTAAAAATATCATATTAACGGGTCATGCTGCAGATCTCAGTAACTACACAGCAGAATAAAGCACCCAGACAGGAACTGTGACATATAAAAACCCCTCAGAAACCCTCTTGAGGCTGGTTGTGATGATTTCCTTAAAAACCCTCCCAGCATCTGGGAAGTGTCAGGAGCTGCAGCGTACCTGCCTCTGTGAAGTGCTACAAGCAGAGCTATCCATGTGTGCTTAAAGTGAATCTAAGCTTCCTGATGTCCAGGGTCACATCTTTGGCAGTCTGTCCTCACTCAGGCTGGACCATGCTGCTCACCGGTGGCAAGGTCAGCCTGGCCGGAGAGCTGTGATGCTCCAGCCCTCAGCCTGCAGTGGGCTGTCAGTGTCTCCTTCTTAAGGGATGGGGACAAACTGTCTGTCCCTTTCATCTGTCATTTTTAATGACAGATGAATCAGCCTGCTGCTTAGGTGAAAACTTTCTGTTGTTTTACTTGGTTATTCCCCCGTCACAGTAGATATAGTGTGCTGTGGCTAGGGATATGCAGGGACTGCAGGCATCAAATACATTTAAATACATATGAGAAAAAACCACCCCGATTGGATGGGTCAGATTCTGTTTCCAGGGAGAGGAAATCAGACTTCCCTCCTGAAAACAGTAGGAAGTTGTTTACAGGAACAGAAGTTGTTTACATGGGTGCAAACTGGTATAAAATCTCACTTTCCCTTAGTGCTGTTTGAATTTCTGTGACCCAAGGACCTGTCTCTTTTCCTTTAAAGGTTTTATTCCAGGAAAAGTAGTTAAAATGGAGAATTTTTCTTTTCACTTAGTAGGAACAAATAACTGTCTTGTGTACAATGACAACTGCAGGTATTTGAGAGCAAACACCTTTTATCTTTCCCCTCAGCAAAGCCTAGGAGAAAAAAACCCCGACAAAACAAAACCTCTCTGTTTACTTCCCTTTAAGACAATACAAAGTCTCTTCTCCTGCTTGAATATATGTGTCAGGCTCCTTCCCAACCTCCACCACTACATCGGAGGAGGCAAGAGGTAATTCATTTTGCCCTCTTGGCCACCTCACCCTTGAGCCTGTTCAGAGCAGATTTGTGGATCACATAAAATACAATTGCCAGTGTGTTTCTCTTCTGCACTGAGCCAGCATCCAGAGCTGTTTTAAGTTACATTCTCTCAGCCCCAGCACTGTGCTTACCAAGCCAACTGGCCCTCTAGTGTTTTGAGGTATTGTATGCAAAGAGGTCCCTTTAGCTGCTGCTTCTCTGTTCCAGAGGTAAAGAGGGGGATTTGAAGCAGCTCGCAAAAGCTTAGTGAAGTTACCTGAATCTGGAGTGATTGACAAGGGTGACACAGCATCCACCCTTCTGCCTGGAAATAGAGGGAGCCTGATTTGATGTACTTTTGGAGGGCCAACACTTCTGCTATGACCACTACTCCATGGCTGTGAGTCTATGAGAAGCTACTGGTGCACAAAGAGATGCAAAGTTGTTGTAGAAGACAGTTGTCTTTTACACACTTTAGCAGGGATTTCTGAAAGCATCCTATATCACAGATACACTGCAACACTGGGGTACCACACAGCATCTTATATCACACACACACTGCAGCACTGGGGTACTGCGCAGGTTTTCCAGCTCTCTCGTGAGTGATACCCGAAAATAAAGATGAAGGGAAGGAAAATGCCATGAAGCATCAACACTGTAGCAAACTAGGATCCAGATGGGAAGCCTTTTTACAGCAACATGCTGGATTAACTTGAAGACTCCCCTGGCTACTACTCTCCTATTTAATTTGTCTTTTCTTAATGCTGCTTCAGTGAGGTGCTTTTCTGCAAGGTAACGCCATAAAAATGTGTGGTTCCAGGCATTGTCTGCTATCAGGAGAACTTTTCTCCATCCCCGTTAGCCCATTCAGAGCTAATTAACTGATTGCATGATCAATAGCATCAATTTGAACTCTTAAGTGGAACAATATTCCACATCATTCACATGGTCATGCAAAGCATGAAGCCAAGATGATGTACATATGAAAGAAAAGAATTAACCTGTTGGAGGGAGAACAGGTTTCCATTCTTCTAGGCTGTGTCTTTAGTCAGAAATAAGTTTTGGAAATGCAGCTGCAATAATGAAGGGAAGTTTTAAACCCTGAGTTGGTGTCCACATCCCATTTGGAGGCTGGATGTCAGGTAGTTGTGTTTCTCCCTGTAACTTGTAGATCCAGTCCTATCTTCTCATAAGCTGCCATTGATGCTTGAATTTCTCCTTCCATCCCTGTGCAGCCACAGCAATGATCATCCCTGTCCTCATCTTCAAAAAGCTGGTCGGTGAGACACCCAGTGGTGACAGCGAGCAGCAGAGCTGGCCAGTGGGACCTCATGGGTGCCTTCATGCAAACTGCAGGGGTAAAAAAGAGTGGCATCCAAGGAACTTAATAAGTTATCAGGAATCTTCACCTCCTAGATAGAAAAAGCATTGCATCCATTTGCAGTGAGTGCCAATCTGTCTGCAACCTTGCTATGCCTCTGTGAGATGGAGACAGAAGACTTGTATTCATGGAGGAACACATCTGCTGCATAGCCTAAAGAAACACTCCGGCAGCTGATAGCAGTGTTAATTTCATATCATATCCAGAGACTAACCACAATACTATCCTTAGCAGGTAACTTTCTGCTGCTTCCTCAGCAGAAATCTTGTCAGAAACTCAACTTGAGGCAACACAATGCTTGTGACTCCCTCCTTTTACTCTCGGATTTTGTCGCTATGTGATGCCAGTTGAATGTAAATTGTTAAAAGAAATATCATATAATAAAATTGTCTCCAGAACATCTCTTGATCATTTTGGCTTAAGTGGGTTTCTAACCTGAACATATGGGAATGAGCAGCAAGTCCCACTCCTTTATCTCACATGATCGGTATACCCAAACCCTGTTGAAATGGCAATTAAAAAACCACATCCAAGTGCCAGACTGTGATACAGTTCATCTGTCATCTAGCACTGCCTGAGCTGTCCCTCTCATTATATCTCTTTCTGCTTAGCCTTTGGGCTACCTTGATGATAGAATAATCAGAAGCCAGATGTGGGACACAGCTCCAGATTAAACCTAAAAACAAGCATCTGTCCAGTCATCTAAATAGTTTTGTAGGCTTTGATGACTCTATTGATCAGATCATTATTGGCTAAAATGGGAGCTTTGCCTTCTAGTGCTAAGTATCCATAGGGAGGATACAATGCAGCACCTATGGGAGACGTGAGTCCTTCTGCGGTGGAAAGGAGGGCACAGAGCACATACTGCAGCATCTTGTAACACTGCATTCCACATTAAGAAACACAAAAGAGCCCTAACGGTCACTCAGATAAAAATGGCAGAGTATCTGCTGCCATCAGTTGCTTCTTGCAAAGATCCAATCCTTCTCTATTAGACGTGAAGGATAGCTTAACTGAATACATCTTCCTTTATTAGAAAGGTTGTCTCTCTCCACTGAACTAAAAGGAATAACAGTGCTTACTTGACGTAGGCTCGATGATTAACATTCAGGTACACCTATATCTAAACTAAGGATTCATGTTAAGACCATCACAGCAAATGGTCCAAAAGCCACCTGGCATTTGAACCGAAATATTTATGAATGAATGCCTGAAGTGAAAGCGGGGTAAAGTGCCACTGCTTGGATGTACTCAAAGGGCTTG